TTTGTGCATAGCTGACGTAGCTACATCTCTTCCTTTTTCAATTTTTGGTTAGACTAGATATTGCGTGATTAGGTTTAGCGATAATAGTAATAGGCAAATACTGTGTGAAAGGCTTACTTTGATATGAGGTGTATGGAAAAGGCTTATTTATAATGCTATATTTGAGTCTTATAACACTTTGCAATAGTTTTCACAGACTCCAGTTTCAGAACGACATTTATTATGGTCTACCGTTTTGAGCTTTATGCGATGTGTGCTTTTAGGGACTGGTGTCCTTTGTTACCGGTGGCGCCTCAGGCTTAGGCAAGGCTACGGTCGAACATTTGTTTAGGCTCGGCGGAAAAGTGGTGTTGGCAGATCTGCCGACATCTGAGGGCGCGAAGATTGCTGCCCAAATCAGCGAAGAAAACGTGATGTTCGTTCCCATGGACGTATGCTAATTGTTTGTTCTTATTTACATTCATCGTTAGTCCATAGTGTACAATTAGGTGTCGAAAGAAGCAGAGGTCTCGACAGCTTTCGACGAATGTATAAACCGCTTCGGCAAGTTGGACGCCATTGTCAACTGCGCAGGCACCGCTGTCGCTTATGCTATTTTCAACAAGGGCGAGGAGAAACCTCACATGTTGGATAGATTCATGAAAGTTTTGGAGGTACAGTAACGTTTCTGATCAGCCTTCATGATGAACTGGCGTGCATATAATTAGCGGTTGAAAATGCGTTGGGGGAATTAGGGAAAAAAAGTCACAGCCTTTTACAACGCATACGGATTCTTTTTATTGACCCTAATTTCTAAAAGCTCAACTTGCGCTTCGGTTGTAATGTTCTTGTTGAAAAACGGTTCAACAGATTACATTAACGTGGCTGGTTAGGCTTGACTGTGATGAATTCTACGGACGTTAGTGGCATGAAGGTTCACAATATTTACTTTTGTATATTTTTTAACGCTTTTTTAAATTTCAGACTAACGTTGTTGGAACGTTTAACGTTTGTCGTTTTGGAGTCGGTAAAATGTCATCGAAACCGTTTTCGGAAAGTGAGGAAAGAGGCGTCATCATCAACACATCCGGCATCTCTACGACCGAGGGACAACAGGGCCAGGTAGCGTACGCGGCCGCTTGCGGTGCAATTGACGCCATGACGCTGCCGCTTTGCAGGGATTGCAGCAGAAATTCAATTCGCGTCGTCACTATCTCACCAGGTACTCATTGATATACCTACCGAAGCTGAGTCTCATTCTTAACGGAACTCAGAAGATCTGTTGTAGAATAAGAGGAACAAATGTACCACACCTACCAAACATCTTTTCTGAATGAGTATTCGTTGTTTTGTTCCAATCATGGGATACAAACTTCATTAAAAATATGAAATACAAATTTATTACGAAATACCATTAAAGAATGCGTAGCGAAAAGTTTCCTGCCTAGCATATTAACGATCCGTAAGAGCAAAACAGACATGAATTCTGAACAAGCTTTCGCGGCACTGCCATCAAGGGTCATCATATATGAATAGCTATCGTTGGCGAGTACGACAGATACAAAAATTTTTGATCGGTCGAAACATCAGTTCCATTAAATAGCGGCTTTATTAAAATTCAGGAATAGCCTGCGATTATAAACCACTTCTTCTTGAAATCGAGAGTCCAAGTGTGTGATTGTATCGATATGTGATGATGCACTCCCCCTGGCGTCTTCTTGGTAGGTTTACAGAGAAGGCAGTCTAGACTCAGACGGAAAACCAGATGACTCTGTAATATGGACGACGTTGCATTGTCGCGGTAGAATTTTTACTGCTGAGGTAATCCACTTTCAACGAACAGAGCAGTTGGACCGTCCTAAGGTGCTGCTTCGGTGTCGTGAAAGGAATAACGTACTGTGAAAACATGTAAACGCGGTGCCTCAATTTACCGAATGTATTCAGTGTACTGAATTGGATAATAGACACGAGATATACAATGATACACTGGTCACTGTATGGAACTGCTACTGTTGGACAACTTGTTGGCATCTTTAAAATCTCGCATTAAAGTTGGAAATTGAGGGTACTTAGTCGAGTTCCATACGCTTCGAGACTTATGCGTGTCCCTGTTTTAGACCATATGGACGAACTACGTAATGATTAGCCCAGAATAGTAAATTTTCTTCTTGAAAGGTATTGTAAACTTTACAGTATAGCATACAGTATAACTGTGAACCACTAATGCGTATTCATGTAAATTGTACTTGATTACGTCAGGTGTATGCACTGTAGCTAGAGATGAATGTCACAGTTGTGTTGGATGACCTGAATCAACAGATGATGCTTCTGATAACTGGAAACACTGAAACGGCTGTTCATTATAGCCTAATACGGAGAAAAAGACCATCATGATCAGCCTCATCCCCATTAGAAACAGTTAACATTTCCATAATGTCAAGAAATTCGACACAGGGAATTGCTTTTTAATACCGTCTCTACAGAGACTGTCAATCAAGGCAGTGGTTATAGGGAATGATCAAATGCTATCCCAGTATTTGAAGTCTATAGTCCACTGCAGACGGTGTTTCACATAGTTCTTTATGATATTAAATAAGGCATGGGTAGCAAACCGATTCTAGTACGTCAGCTGGATAATGGCGCGCATCTGACCTTGCTAATCGTCAGATGTATCGCGGGAAGCTATTTATAACTTAAAATGAATAACGCAATCAAAAGACAGGCATTTGCCACTGGAGACAGTGAGAAGCGGCATTCGGTGTAAATTTGTTTCGTGTGTATATGCCTGCTGTTTCATAATAAATTAAATTCTTGTGTAAACGAATCTCTGAACTTAACGATGACTGTAGCTTCTGCACCACAGAAGTTTACGGTAACCTTAATGGCTCAACTGCCGCTCCACTGAACGGTGCTCTTTCTTGATCTGGCTTCATTGGAGGTACCTAATAGGATGGTACTACTAGCATTAGAATGCTCAGCATAAGTTTCGTTCTACCGGGAGCTTTAAAATATTCATGTAAAGTCCGTTTCTACGCGTCGATCTCGCTGTGCTGTTTGATGGCGCATAAGAATGCTCGCAGTCACTAACATCAGTCCCATGTAATGTTTATCGTTGTATGACTTATTTCCACTCTGCTAAACCTGTGAACTTTCAGTTTTAATAAATGTTAATGTTAATAAAGTTCTGTTGTAACTTTGAAATGGTTATATTACTGTACATTAATGCAAATATGCATTTGATGCCTACCGTATGCAAAGATATTGTGGCGTTTTGAATTGTTTCTCTATGATATTTCAGCAGTATCTCTGACTCTCGTTGTTTGGGTGCCCTTGGCAATGCTGCTTAGTAAGAAAAGCAGCATCATTGTCACTGAAATGTCATTCAGCTGTAAATCACTGAACTTTTTCAGGATAATATGTATGCACTGTGGTTATTTTTATAATATTTTTACTTTAAGGACTGTTCACAACTCCGATGGCTGGCATGTTCCCTGAAAAGGTGCACAAATTTCTTCAAAGACTGGTACCTTTCTCTTCTCGCTTCGGAGATCCCAACGAGTTCGCGCAGCTCGTGCAGGCGGTAATCCAAAATCAGTATATCAACGGGTGCGTGATTCGGCTTGATGGCGGGCTCAGGCTTCCGCCTTAGCAGCTGTTGTTTCTTAGCTCAGTCAGGTTTTTGAATGTCCTGTTATGCGTTCTCAATAAATTCACGATTTAATTGACAGCTCATTTAGTAAGATAGTAAATGCTAAAGAAGGCTTGCGCTGATTCCACTTCGTAAACCTTCACAGTTCAGGCTTTACCGTAAACAGACGTAAAGGATGAATTTCAAAAGTTCAATAACTCCTTATATGAAAGTATTTACTTAGGCGTCTGCTACGCAGTTTTTTTAAGCGTAATAGTATAAATATAATGCGGCAGTGACAATCCTTTATAGGAAAAGGGACAAAACCCTTTATAGTTATTTTACGTTTCGTTTGCTTCAAGTTAACAGTATTGTTCTTATCAGTTAACGGATCTTGAATGGATCGATTCAAAGCCAGTTATATGGCACCATGGAGCTGTTGTCTTAGAGAAAAAAAAGGCTACGCCACTGGCTGTAAAATCTTCCTTACTGAGATCGAATTCTGCCAACAATCATTGTTTCTCATGAAATAAACTACTTAGAGTATTCTTGCACATACAGAAACGTGGAGATAAGTGGATACCTCACTGAGTGGTATGGCCTACAAAAATTCTACTGTATTAAAAATGTTCTCCATGTACCTGAGAAATTATAACGTCGGAATCATTTTGTAGCTATCGTATTCAATAAATATTCGTTATACAGCGCGTAAAACAATTGCTGCGCTTCAGCTACCGTACGACTTGGTTCCTGACGAGATTGGTTAGATTGTCAGGTAAGAACGAAATGCAGGTAGCGCAAAGGTTATTTTTGTTTCATATTATACACAACGAACTTCATAATTTCTTCCACTTCAAGTAGCATCCTGAAGCCAAATGACCAGATGCGTGACTGTACCTTCATGGATTTAATTCGAATGAATTCTGAAACCTATGCCTGACCTCACATTAGGAGGATGTAGCAAGGAATGCGCAACTCATTTGACAGATGCGCCACTAGAGGCTTGGCGGATTATGACGTGTGATATAGCCGTGCTGTTGGCCAGTTTTCAGTCGGAAAGCAGTCAGTATTTGCAACGACATGTAGCTCTTCGTATTGAAATAAATGTAGAGACAGAAACCGTTCAAGTTTCGATACATATTGATTACAGTCTTTTACAAAGTAGTGCGTGAAAACGATAAGAAAATCGATACAAAATCAAAAAACTAAGGAAAAATCACATTCTGCATCATTCGCATTATGAAAGGCGAAGCACTCACAATCAATCCAGAATTTGAACGAGAAACTTGGTATAGCCATTCTGACATCTTGCGTATGGAGATATGTCAAGCAAACTGATGACCAACTTGTGATCTGTGTATATTATCAAAATTTCTCATGGACTAAAAACAGTGTTTATGATTCTGAGCCCTTGCAAGCCCGTAGTCATTGTGTACCAATGATGAAAATTTGCACTGTGGCCTAGAGAAAGTCATGCTCCGCAGTTATTAAAATCGCCAAACTGAATATTTTAAGTAGGCTAATCAAATTTAAGTTGATTCTCTTAACAGAAGCGAAGGCGCCGCTGAATGTCATTTGCTACAACGCATTTTTAAGCGGTTTGCTATAACGGCTCTTGGCAGCAAATTTTCATAACTGTATCTACTCGTCTTCACAAACAGTAATGTTTAGGTTTGCAAAAAAACTTCGAGCTAATGTTTTTCGATTCCGTGGTTGACAACAGAAAAATATGAAAAGAGAAGTTTCATTCTGCTGTTTTTTGAAACGAATCATTGTTTATCTACTCTTAGGAAAGAAATCACGTGCCCCTTTCCATTTACTATGTTCCTTACATTTCTGAAGCTGTAGTTACGCATGCAATAAGAGCGACAAATAACCTGAGCTGCAATATCCTTACCTTCCGTAACGACAGTCCTGTTCTTTGCATAATGCATTTAATGGGCCGTAATTACAAATGTTTCATTTTTTGCTGAAGTTATTTAAATCTTAAATAAACAAATGTGGGCAGTTTTCAAAATCTTGTCTAGGTTCTATTCCGCGGTGGTTCTCATTCGCACGGAACAGAGACTGACACTTGTCATTTGATGACACCTAGATTCATCTCAAGGAGTTTCTAGCTTACAGATTCAGATATACAAAGCCGAGTTTTTACTAAAAGTATAGATTTGTACTTAATTTCTCTTGAAGGGTTCAGCTCAACAGCTAGATAATTGACGCTTTATTTGGAATAATTTAAAATATATGCTGGCGTCTGTCCGACTGCTTGTTGAAGCAAAGTCTAATGCTTGAAAGCATTTGTGGTTTGCATAGAGTAATTGAGTAACCGTCTCATGTGAGTTAGCTGCGAAATCTGCGAGTCCTTTAGCACTCTTGCCCGGGTTATTCTTGGCCGTCGTCAGGGTCTTCAGAAGAAGAGTTG